AAATGTTATAAAAAATAAAAAATAAAAAAAAATAAAAAAAAAAAAGGATTTTTGTTGTTTGAACAAACACGAGCCAGTCCGCAAATGTTCGTATAATTAATTTAATAACTTTTATTTTTTACTTTTATATATATGTATAATATATTTTTTTTTTTAAAAAAAATCTAAAGTATTTCTTCTTTTCTCTGTTTTCGAGTTCAAACGATTTTGAGTGAACTAATCTCTGATTAATCAAACAATTTTAATAAATTTGTTTGTTAATTATTCCAACACAAACAAATGAACTCAAACTTTTGACAAACAATTAAAAGAAAAATGGCTAAGCGCATATTTTTGCTCGAATAATAAACATACAAATACACAGTGCTCGAATAATAAACAAACAAATACTAAACATACAAACACACAGTGCTCGAATAATAAACAAACAAATACGAATAGTGCTCGAACATAAACTAATACGAGTTCAAAAATGCTCAAACTAGGTTCGTTCGGTTCGATTACTATCACTAGTAACACCATTAGGTGGATAAACCAAAACTGGCTTGTCAATATTGAAATTACTGACTAATTTTGAGTCAATTAGACTGTGAACCTAAAAGAAAGAGATTTGGTAGGGTTATCATTGTCAACAATGAGAAGCACTATATATATTTCCAAGTTGAAAAAGACACTTAGTGCCCACAACCAACATTCTATAATCCTTCTATATTCATTCACTCATGCATTTCATAAAGGTCATCTCAAGAGGAATTGGCAACAAGCAATACACATACAAATTTCAAGAAAAAAAAAAAAAAAAGTCATTTTTCACCACAAAAACAACATTCACAAGCCCCAAAATGTAGCAATGAAATCATCCAAAATAACCTTACATAGCACTTGAGAAGTTCTGATCATTATTAGGAATATAAAGAGACAAACTCACCACCACCCTTGCCATTTTTGTAAACATTCACTGCTCAAAACCAACTTCATTTGTTCTGCCATCAGCTCCATCTGCTTGCAGTACAGCTCAAAATGCCCCACAGTCACCTGCTTATTAAACTTCCTCTTCAGCTCAGTCTCCTCCATAGCCAACTTCTTCCACTTCTGGTTCAGCTCCTCCGGCTTGCCATTGCCGAGCGAACCCAAACACTTCATCCATAGCTTCTTCCCAGGTTCAGATATAATCCACGAGGAGTCGGCCATCTCTGGAAGATCAAACGACCTTTTCAAAAACGGATACTTGTACTCCAAATCAACTTCTTCTTCTTTGATTTCTTCTTTAGTTTCTTTTTTCACGGCCTCCTTTTTAATCACAATCTTCTTCACGTCGGGTTCGACCTTCGGCTCCGCCTTCACAACTGTTAAAATTATGCTCATTTGATTAATTGTCATGAGTTGTCAATTTGTCATAATGATCAATAATAGTTGTCATGAGTTGGCTTTGTAATAATGGTCAAATAATTGTTGTAATAATTAGAGCCTAGAGTATTCTTGTAAGTAGTATAAATATGTGTGTCATGCGTGTGAATTGTAAGTATGAAGCAAGAATAAGAATTGCTATTTCAATAGTACAGCATTGTCTAATTTTCTCACTCAACATATTTTCCATTCAAATCTATACTACTATCTTCTTCTCCAATATAATTAAACATTAATATTTATTTAATAAATATTATTCTTTTAGATACCAACAGTGGTATCAGAGCCCGGTTAGATTAATAACTGGGCGAAATTATTTTCCAATATCCTCCTATTTTTACATATCTTGTCCAAATACCCTACTTTCACATATCCTCTTATTTTCACATAGCCTTCTAAATTTTTATTATGGCCACTTCCCAAAACACCCATCAAATAGCAATTCCTATTCTTTCTGGCGAAAATTATAATTATTGGGCCATTAAAATGAGGACATATTTTATGTCTCAAGGCCTATGGAATATTGTCGAGAACGGGTATACTATACCCGATGACATTTCCACTTTGTCTACGGCGGACGAAGAAAAATTCGATCGGAAAAAGGAAAAAGACAGTTTGGCCCTTTTCACACTACAAATGGCCATGGCGGAGTCCCTGTTTCCACGAATTAGTGGAGCACAAACATCAAAGGAGGCATGGGATACTCTCAAGGAAGAATACCAGGGTAGTGACAAGGTACGTCATCTGAAATTACAAACTCTAAGAAGAGATTTGGAAAATATGAAGATGAAAGAATCTGAGACCGTAAAAGATTACTACACTCGATTAAGAGAAGTAGTAAATCAATTAAAAGCATATGGAGAAAATATTACTGACAAAAGGGTGGTAGAAAAAGTTCTAATTACTCTACCAGCCAAATATGATCCTATTATCACGACGACAGAAGAAACTAAAGATTTGGATCATTTGTCAGTAACAGAATTAATAGGTTCACTAGAAGCCTATGAAAGAAGACTGAGTATGCGTGAGAATGACACAGTCGAAAATGCATTTCAGTCAAAATTAAATTGACGGTCTCAGAATTCTAAAATTGGGGGGAGAAGATTTGGAGAAAATAATAAAAATAAAAGTCAAGGTGGAAATAATAATAATCAACAAAAAGGAAAATATCCACCTTGTGGAGTTTGTAAGAAAACCAACCATCTTGAGAAGGATTGTTGGTACCGGAATAAACCACAATGTAAAAATTGTGGTAAATTCGGTCATGTGGAGAAAAATTATCGTGCTAAAGGATATCAAGCAAATTTCTCTGAAAAAAATGAAAAAGGAGAAAATTTGTTATTTTATGCAAATCAAGCAACTTCAGAAGAGAAAAATGATATTTGGTTCC